AAATTGCCTGCTTACAAAATACCCGAACATATAAGGTTCGTCGACGAATTCATTCGAAATGCGACTGGCAAGGTGCAAAAGTTCAAACTCGCCGAAGCTATGATCAAAGAGATGAATAAATGAAGATAGATTGTAGACTTGTTGTGTAATCCGAGTATTTGCATTGTAGATTAAGCTTCTTGATGTTGAAAAAGAATAAGATACAGAATAAACACCTTTCATCTGAAACTTTAAGTGAAAACGCTTGCATTAGGTAGCTTAAATTTCAATGCTTGCAACCGATTAGACTAATCTCTTTGCCCACATTCACCCCTACAACAAAAAGCTGTTAGTGTAATTCCTGCAAGATTAAAATGTGAAGAGTGTAGGTGGTGTGGGTGTGTGGGTATGTGGATATGGATGGTGGTGTGAGGTATGGGTGTGGCCCGTATCTTCTTTGATAACCCCACCCACCCACACCCCACACCCACATCCTCACAAACATATACACACACATATCCATGCGCATCGTACATCACACTGATTATGCAGGGTGGGTGTGGGTGTGGGGTGTGGGTGGGTGCATGATGTGGGTGTTGGTGTGGGTGGGTGGCAAAACAGAAAGGATCCTCATCCACACCAATATCCATTTTCACATCCACACCCATACCCGCACCCGCACCCACATCCACACCCACACCCACACCCCATACAGATCTTTACCAGGTGGCTTGTATTCTAGACTATTTCGATACTTTTAAGACCGTATGTCATGTTTTCTCACTTCCATTTATATTTGATCGTCTCAAACAGATCATGAACAATCTTCCATCTATTAAATTCAGATCTGTAACTCATTTGGAATTGCACGATGAAGTTCCATTCAAACATGAATTTTTCATTCAAGCTACTCGAGCTTCTCCATCACTTAAATTTTTATCTATTATGAATATTCGACTACAATTTTGAAGATCTTACAAATATTCATTCGTTAACAACTATTCATATTCGATTATTGAATATTCTCATCTTATTTCAATTGACTTAAGTTTCGTGAATATTGATTATGTTGATCAGTTTCTGAATGAATTTTGAAACACATTTACCATGTTTAACTGAATCAAAAGTTTCATATGATCCATTGAAAAGTGTAACAAGAAACTTTACAAGAAATGCAACAAGACAAACTTGTACCAAAGTGAAACGATTAATTGTTGAAGACTCAATAGTTCTCTCTGAAGATGTTCATCATTATTTTCTTTCACTGTAAATTCAATCTTGTTTTGATTTCCCTCAAATAAAAATCAATAATTTACATCTTCCATTTTTCAGAAAATAGCAAAGGTGTTAAATATTATTTGTTAATAATTGGACTATACGCAACATAAACCATTGGAAGATCATTTGTGATTGTTCAATTTGAAGAAAGAAATACGCAAATGGTTATTTATTGCTTCAATTAAACAGATGATAAAAGAATCATTTCACATTAAACATAAGCAATAATTATTAAGATTTCTTAGTCAATAGTTGTTTCAGGGTCGTCTTCAAATTATCTAATTCTAATGACATCTATTCTCTAATCCTAATCATAGCTATATGGATCGTTTCGATTTACAGTTTAGGTGATAAGCAAAAAAACATAATTTCGTTTTCTTCTGAAAGTTCTCTTGTTTTCTTACTAACTTCTTTCCTGTAAATTCTAAAGATTTTGAGAAGGATTTATTGTAGTCAATATTGCAAGAAATGCGAGATACAGTGAATATGCTCAAATGATTTGTTACGGTTCAACGATTTTTAAATCAACTATACTTCCACTTTTGTTATATTGACTACAATATATTTTCCAATGAAAATTTAAGAATTTCCAACAAACAAGTTATTAAGAAACCTATGATACAATGCTGCAAATATGATAAATAATTTTTATGGATAGACGAATACAAAAGACTTCTATGGAAAAAGAAGTATCTAATCGAACATGATTCTAAACCATTTGTTCGTGTTTTGAATGAAAAAAGACTTGTTCAAATGGAGATCTTCGCAAATTATTTTCCCACATTGATGTTTAAACTATAATTTCATAAGTTTCATTCCGAATATAATTAGCTAACATGTATTCACCTCGCTCATGATTCATATTAATCAAATTAATTTCTTGGTCTACAGACAACAAAGAATAGAAGTATTTATTGTTTCTCGATATGAGTATAAAATATTAGCTAGTCGTTCTCTTTAACACAGTAACTTGATATTAATTCTACAGATCTGTGCTGCCAATTTTTCGTGAAGCATAATATATTGAAAAGTTCTATCAGATAACGAAGATTATTCCATCATATTCAAAGCAAGCAAACCAAATGATAGTTTTATATTCGTTTCAAATCGGCATGATAGGTTCCTTTTATCTGAAGAAAACGAGCATGGACTGAATTCTATGACATTGTAATGTTGAGACGATTCATAGCATAAGTCTGAGTGAACTAGGATGATCTCAACCGATATCTAAAAATCCGATTGAAAGAGCCTAAACCTAATGAAATCAGCACTAGTTTTCAAATCGACAAGAACAGATACTACACTTAGATCTTAAGTGAAAAAGCCGAGTAGCGATAGCTAGTTTTTTTGCTATACGAAATCTTCACTATAACATTGTAATTTCCAAGGGGGAACAAGCGGTTCCGGTGAGAATCCCGGGATCCGCTTTTTCCCCTTTGCTGAGAAATCTTTCTGTTAATTGATTGCAGGGCATACGATTAGGGAAGGGAAGACGGGGGATTTCCCTCTTCTAATTTTTTTCTTGTGCTTTGCCTTTCTCCCTGGAGAGAATTGTTAGCTGCTGTTTTTCGATATTTGCAATAGAGAAAATGCAACAATACCATTCAAAAGAGAAAGCATTTCCCACAGTTTTCAAAGAGAAGCATCCATTTTCTTCAAGAGAGAAACTTTATTTCAAGATTTCAAAGAAATTCCGTCGTTATTGAGAAACAGAATGCTTTCTTCCAAAGAGAAATCTTTTTTGAGTTTTGGCTACTTTCTCCCTGACTTTGGGAGATTTTCTCTTTGGTTTTCTCCTCCATCTCAATAAAACAAAACGAAAGCTATGATTGATTGAAAAAAAAACAAAAGATTTGACATTGTTATTATCGAAGCGCCATTGATTTATTTTTTTGTTATTCGATTATTTAAAAGACAATCTAATAAAAATGAATATTTTTTTAATAAAAACTTATGTTCAATGACAATCGAAAATCAGATTGTATAAAACGTCAATCTCGTCGCCGTGCTTTATTATGTTATTCAACATTATGTTTATTTTCATTTTTAATATTATTTTTATTGTTAAGTCAAGTATTTCATCATCGATATATTCATATTGAAAATAATTCAAATAAATCGATATCATTAAATCTAATGAAATTTCGTTCATCATTAATTAAATGTGGTCAATCTGTTGTTAAAAAAGATAATATTTATCAAATAATTGAACACTTAACTGAAATAATGAAAAATCTTGCTATTAAAAAAAAAGAATAAACAAGTTATTAATATAGATGAACAATTCGATGAAAGATTTATCAAAGATATTATTATTTGGTTAGAATTTATTTTAGTCGAATGTTTTCAAGCAAGACAATTTTCAATAATTGAACAAAAAAAAAACCAACCATTATTAGACAAATTATTTCCAATTTACGAAAAGAATTTTTATATATTGCAGGATTTTTTTATTAAAGAAACATAAACAATCGATTTCTATAATTCTCATCAAAATCTCTGAATGAAAATAACATTTTAATTCAAAACGAAACTTTTTTTTTATTAAAGCTTTCACTTGAGAATGAAATTATTTTTCTTTTTAAACTTTGAATAATACTAATTTTTTTTTCCTGTGATAGATAATTTAGCAAAACGTTTTGATCATCTTTGTAAAAAAAAAATATAAAAAGCAACTTCCTCGTATAACTAGTTGACAATAATTTTTGTATTTATTTTACGAATTAAATTAACGTTGTTTTATAATTAAAGCGAATAACGAAAATTTTCATCTTCAAAGATCTTACAATGAAATGTCTTATAGTTATTTGAACTTTGTCCCAAACAGATTTGTTGATTTTTCAATGTCCGATCTTCTATATTATTAAGAATAAAGCATTTTCTCGCAAAGAGACTGTAATGATAAAAAGAAAAGTCTGATTTTATTTTTTAATCTTTGAGAAAAACAAGAAAGAGAGAAAGAATAATTCATAAGTCCGTGTACCTTTTTATTTCAATTTTCAACGAAATACGACTGAATATTTTTTCTTTTGTAAACAATTCATTTCCACAGTAGCAGAATCAAATAATTTCCGATTCATATTAGAAAATATTTCTGAAAACTCGAACGAATGAGTTAATCTATGATTGAACACTTGTTTCGTTTTTATTTATTTTCCTACTGCTTCATGTTGTGTTACATATTTTCATACTTATGATTTGTACATGCTTCTTATAAACATTATTTGTATTGCGTAGTTCTTTTCTTTTTAAATGAAATTTAAAAATCAATACATAAAGAATCATTCGAAAATTAATATATGAACATATAAGATAAATTATCTTACTAATACTTTTTAGTTTAACGATTAACTTACGAAGATCTATTTTAATAATTTGTAAAAATATACAAATAATTATCAGTTTCAAGACCATATCTCTTCGAGCCACAATAAAATATCTTGCTTTATATTCCAGCATTCTTTTTTAGTACACGTTTCATCAAATATTGATTAAATATTTGGAAAAAAGATAACTAATCTATTCATAGGAATACATCTCATACATACTAAAGAATTTTTATTTGTAATTGATTTTAAGAAGAAAAAAAACAAAACGATGAAAATAAATTTAATTATGTTGAATTTTTATCATCATCAAGCGAACATTGTCTCTTATTAACGATAAATATCTAATATTAATTAATCGAAATTTAAAAATGATTTACTATGTCAATCAACAGACTGAAATAAATACAATGTGAAAATGAAGAAAATATGAGTTATTTTTTTTAAACGAAATAAAAAAAATTCGAAATTAGAATCAATTCAAAACGTCCTTAGAAATAAAACTCCTTTTTATCTTTCGAAAATGATTTATACAAAAAAAAATAAATTCTAATTATTAATGAAATATTTCCATGTATATTTGAATAAATAGGTGATTTTTTTTTTCATTCTATTTAACATCAATTTAAACTAATAGCATATTCTTCAAATATTAAATTTGTTTTAAAAAAAATGTCATACATTTGTCTCTGATGTACTTAATATTTTCCATTAGAAGAAGAAAAAAAAAGAGAAACATTATGCAGTTGATTGATTCAATTCCTTTCCACTCCAAACGACATAAACAACAAAAAACATTAGTGAATTTGCATTGTTACCATTTGACATAGACGTGGTAAAATGGTATCTCGTAATGATGATTTATTAAGTTTTGTTCTTGGTCTTATATCAGGTGTAATTGCTTTAATCAGTTTAATATTAACTTGTACTGGTGTTGGTCTTCCATCATGGTATATTAGTACAAATGCGAATAATACAAACATTATAGGTGAAGCAAATTTATTTTATTCTTGTTTTGCTTCAAATGTTAGTCAAGGAACAAGTTCAGCAGCATTGACTTGTACTTCTTATAGTTTCTATACATGTTCAACAACATCTTATACAAATACAGTATTAAATTCAACAGCATATGTATCCGGTTGTACAAATCCAACAAATGGATCATCAACATATTTAACTGATAATGGACCACTTTATCAAATATTAATTGATGATTTTTATCATTTACGTAATGCTGCTATATTTTCAATAATTACAATACTTTGTATATTTTTTTCAACAATATCTGTATTTTTAACTTCAATTCTTCTATTGAATATATATTTAGTTTTTCTTGCACCAATACTTGCTTGTCTAAGTGTTATTTTTGGTATATGTTGTTTGGGATTTGCTGGTTCGGCTTTGAATTATACAGGAGCCGGGTTTGCTTTATTTACGGTTGGAGTTTTATTTGAAGTTATCGTTACAACATTATCATCAATTGTAGCTGGAAGATTAAATCAAATAGAAAAATTAAACAATAATGAACAATCATCGACACATCCTAATGGTTCACCTATTTATTTACGAAAAGTATATAAACGAAGAATGTAAAACAAAAATATGAACTTTTATATCGATTGGAAAAATAAAAAGAGAAATAAAATTTCTTCAATGACTTTTTCATTTTCAGGATATTCAATAATAACCATCGATGATTTTTATTATAAAGTTAGATCTCAAAAGTTTATTTAATATGCATCGAATAAAAACAGAAAAAAAAAGTCTTAAATAGATATATATTTAATATTAATGATGAATAGCATAGGTTGTTGTCCATTGTTTTGCTATTTCTTCATATTTATTTTTATCTGTTCTATAGAGTTCGAGAGCTTCTTTATTGATTCCATGTTCAGGATTTGGATCAGATAATAATGAACATAATGATATAAGAAGACTACGTACAGTTAATGCAGGAGACCATTGAGAACGAAGAATATCTAAACAAATTTCACCTTTTATACTTATATTTGGATGATAAATTGGTGTCACAAATTGAATTGCAGGTGGTTTGAATGGAAAATCTGAAGAAAATTTAAGTGATAAATAAAATTTTCCATTAGTATATGGAGTATCTTTTGGTCCTTCAATCCATCCAGTCCAATTCATTATATCTTTACTTGGATCCTCAGGTTTTGCATAACATAATGGAGGTGGATCTTTTTCTATTTCAGCATAATGATGAGCAAGACGTCGAATAATAGCCATGAAAATTTATATAAAAATTAATTTCAAAAAGAAATTTGTCGTTCACAGTCAATATTTCAAATTGATTTCTTCAATGGATAGTAGATTGTTATTGAGATATATATATATATATATGTCGTATCGAAGTTACACCGGTCGACGAAATCATAACTTCGTCAATCGATATTGACGAGATTATAAGTTCGTCGTATATGAGCGTCGAAGTTACAATTTCGACAGAGAAATCTGTTGAAGTTATTTTGAATTCATTTATCCATAAATAATTTATTAAATTGAGTATTCTACTGTTGAATATATGATCAAAAAATAAAATTTTTACTAATAAATGTTCATTTGGGTTCCACAATATTATTAAAAAAATGAAAATTTTTATTAGTAAAAAATTTTATTTTTGATCACATATTCAACAGTAGAAGACTCAGTTTAATAAATTATTTATTGATAAGTGAATTAAAAATAACTTCGATACGACATGTATATATATATAATATTTTTCTTTCCTTTGAATTTTCTCTTTTTTACCTTCTTTAATGAATTTTCCTTTCTTATCCATAATCTATAGAATTTTTCTTCTGTCTTATCGATCTCTATAGACTTGTTATATTATTGTAAAGAGACGTAGAGAGGAGATAAAGATATACACATATATATAGTACTAGACGAATTAAAACCTGACATGTTGAAAGCGTAGAAAAGATAAGAGAAAAGTATGCGCAATATTTTGAAAAAAAAAAGGTTGCTCAATATTGTTTCGATCTTTCCAACAGACATTATTTATCAATTCTATTTGATAAATTTCAACTATTATCAAAATAATTTATAATTTACTACAAATGTCAACATATCTAAATATTCATAGTCAATCTAAGATAAAAATCGATCTTTTTCAAAAGTATTATCAATTTCATATACTTTATAGTTATATTAGTTTAAACAAACAAGGAGTTTAAATGCTTTATTTATTTGCCCTATTCTTCTGTTTAGTTTTGTTTTTGTCATGCAATGAAGAAAAAAAAGTATAATGAAAAAATAAAACATTAGACTTAGCTTTTATTTCTGTGCTTATTTACAATACGTTAACAAGTTTGTGTACAGTACGGCGGGAAGAGAGGGGGGCGGTAGTGAGTAATAACCCACACAAAATATGTCTCACTGTAGAAATTTTTCTGGGTACAAAAGATTAGTCATCAAGAGAAAATATATGGAAAAAACCAATTGAATATAAAATGAGTATAATACAGAAATGAAAATGAGTCATAATCATAGAAAATTATTCATTGATTTTTTTTTTCTTATATCGAATATTTATTTATGATTAAATAAGAATCTTGATAGTTGATTATCATAGATAATCAAATATAAATGAATTATAATCTTTTGTTTCAATTCAATGTTGATTAATTTATAAACTTTTTATTAACTTTAACTATAAAAACCACAAAAAAATTTTCTTGCATTATTTCGAAAAAATTTCTGATGATCAAATGAACGATATGAAACTGAGAGATAATATTGGAAAAAAAAGTAGAATAGAAAAATAAACTGTCTGTGAGCAAAATATTTCATGTATTATTATAAGTACATATTTGATCGAAAAACATTTGTCCAGATTAACAAGAATTTATTTATAAAATAGAATAAGATATTTATCTTATTAAAATATAAAGAAAATCAATAAATACTTGTATGATATTGAATATTTTTTTTCTCGTATTTTAAAGTTAAAATGAATGATAAGAACAAAATTTCTGCTATATTATCTTAATGTGTATCAAGATAGTCAATGAATAAAACTTCTTATTATATATGAAATCAATCTTTAGACATATATGGATTTGTCATTTATTCTGATGAACTTACTTGAAAATGATTTGATAACACAATTAAATACTAGATAAGTTCAGCCAAAAATCAATTCTAATATAACTGTTATGATATCAATAACACTAGGCTTTTGTTTTTATATTTTAAATATATCGATCGAATATAATTATTCAAAGAAGAAAAAAAAATTGACAAAAAAAGTCATAGAAAAACTGATGAGTGAGAAAGATATTAATAATCTATATATATAAATTGTTGTTCGTGAGAATATTTTAGTGATTTGACAATAAACCGATGAAAATTTTTATTTTTAATTTAAAAATATTTATATCGATCAATTTATTTAGAGATTTTCTTAAGTATAAACTTATTTAAATTCGACTTATCTGTATCAATTTTATCTTGAAAAAAACGAAATAAATGATAAATTTGTAACATTGAAATAATCACGTTGATTATTTAGTTATTTTCTTATCTAAAACGATGTTTTTAATTTGTTATTTTTATTGAAATAAAAATATTGGTCATGTCTATGTAAAGTATTTATGATCTCGTAGGGATATTTTTTTTAATTATTAGTATTTGAAAGCACGTAGATTTTGTCATTAATAAGACAGAAGGCTATATTTATGAAAACAAAGGTATACTGTAATCGATCTACAAGACATGCAGTTGACTTAAAAATAGATAATGACTTTGAAAAAGTTTTTTTTTCTCTAATTCATGACAGTCGAGACAATGTCATGAATTCTTATCACATTACCAATATTTTATATAACCTTTCAACTCGATTAATAAATAACATTAACATATCTCAATGAAAACCTAATAAACTATTAAAAAAAATAATTGTTTTACATGATTAATATATAAATATAATATTTTCCTATTGATTCACTTGTCTACAAATATCTCAAACAATGATTGAAAAAATAAAATTTTGAATAGAAACAAAAAAATATTTTATTTCTTAGTATTATATTGATTTATGAGAACGTGCAAATGTTAGTATAACAACAAATCATAGAGACAGATATATTTTAGTACGTCTATGTTTAAATTAAACACAATTGGATTTGATTTTTCAATTAAACGTAGGAGTTGTATTTAGTTAATACTCTTTCTTCATATATGATTTATATATTGAACAATTTTTATTATATATCTCATTTATTTCCCAAAGTATTCATTTAATTTTTCTTTATTCATATAAATCAATTTAATATCAGTAAGTGAAAAAGAATTCATTTCATGTCTTCTGTTTGGTAAATAATCATTGAGTTTTCTACGAAATATTTTTGACTAACATTTAGTTATTAATTATCCTTTGTAGATAAGTTATTATTCGTCAAATATAGTTAAGTCTATTTGATTTATAATTTTTGAAAGAAGAATTTAATAAGAAAATCTTATTGAAATCTGATCGATGATTGCCTTTCGAAGTCAATTAAAGAAAATTGAGTTTTTGAGAACTTTCTCGTCTTAGAAATTGATCAATAGAAATTAAATCGAAATTACTATGTAGAAAATATAGGTAATGAAACAACAAGGTTTAGGTAGATTCAAGTCTACTGTAGATTTATTCTTTTCTAGAATAGGTTCAAACTATTTTCCTCTTCTTCCATCAAATCAATAGATTTTGCGGCGGCCAATAATAATTTTTTCTTAGTTCAACACAAAAAGCTTTAACAATGAATTAACATGACATTGCTCTAATCATTAACAATAAACAGTCGGTTATGTAGAGGATTTCTTACAAAAAACTGAATCGAATCAAATTTGATTCTCTTCATTATCGACTTAGTCGCGATATTTTTTATTAAATCTCAAATATATGATCAATGAAGCTCAATTCAGTATAGAACTCGGATTCTTCACTTTTTCAAGTTGTATCAATTGTTGTTCGTGTGAAATCCACTAGGTCAACTATAGCTTATATTTTATTTAAAAAAAAAGAGAATTTCTATTGTTTTTTTTTTCAAGATAGATAATTTAAGAGAAAGCTGATTGATATTCATCAATTTTTACGAATATCTCTCTTTTCACATACTTATTAGAGCTGCTAATATTTTGCATCCTTTTAGTTGATAAATAGATAGAGTTCTTTCATTGACATGACAAGTGTTTTCTACTTCGATTAGATGATCAGCTATACAGTTATACGTAATAATACATTTGTATGATCTAGTATTCTGATTCGCTTATTGACATGAAAACAATATATCACATTTTTTTGTTAATTCAAATGTTGTGATATTAATCAGACTAAATTTAGAGATTATTAACTTCAGTATAGATCTACAAATTGAAATAGAATTCGGATGACATTGAAAATTATTATACTTCTTTTCTTTATATTTGTGTCTTTCTTCAAGGAGAGATGATATCTATACTAACGTTATTTATACACAATTGAGAAACTATTATCTTCATCGATCAATAGACTTTGGAGCTTTCGAATACTTCTGAATCGATAGATTCCCTATATAGATATATGAAAACTTGAATAAAATTGTATGCAG